GTTTAGGGGGGGGGTAACTGCTTAAAAGGGGGAACGAAACGCGTCAACCGAATGACACTGGACATTTCACGCCCGGATGAAGCCAATGGGGGCGGTGTTTAACGCCCCGGCGTTAAAATCGGCCATCACGCCCAACGAGGTGAAGACCATTACCACTGCTCTAAAAAAAGAAAAGTTTTAAAGCCCGCCGTACCACATGGGGATTCAGACCAATCGGACAGTCTAACACCTATCCTCCAAACTGCAACACGTTGCCTCAGGGCACTGGGTATACCCCTAACGCCGGTCGGCGTTACGTAGCTTTTCACGCCCGACCGGCGTTAAACACCACCCCTGCGGCGTGTTTCGGGCGTCATCCCAAATGCGTCATTCGTTTGACGCTGATTCCCCTCCCCCCTAATGGCTAATTTAGCTGTTGAAACCCAAAAAAAAAAGAAAAATTAAATTATTTTTATAAATCTCAAACCCCCCCTCCCATTCTCACACCTTCAATCTTCAATCTTCTCCAATCTTCTTCGCATTCTTCAATTCTCCAATTCTCCTACTCTCTTTTGAGCATGAATCCTTCCAGCTTCGGCTACTTTCCCGACAATCTCGAGCCTCACAAGTCCGCGATGTGGTATTTCTAAGAATACGGGAATCATCCACCGATGTTCGAGATGCAACAATCGGGGTACGTTGAGCGAGATTCCGTTCCGGAGACTCAACCAGCACCATCCGGCTCCAAAAAAAGTACACGCCGGAAAAGCCACAAAGCAAAAGGCACGATGACCGAGCCGGCAAGGTCAATCCAAAAGTGGACGCTGGAGGAAGAGTGCTTATTGGCGTCGGCTTGGGTTGACGTCTCCGAGCATCCTATCATTGGTAAAAATTATATGTTTTCTAATATATTTATGTTTTTATTTATATAAAATTATATTTAATCGCGTCATAAATTTTTTTTGTGTTATACTTTTTTAAAGGTTCGGACTAAACCAAGGATGCGATGTGGGATTGTATCGAGGAGAAGTTCTTCACGGCGATGAACAAGGACGGCTCCTACCGTACCCGGGACCAACTCACTTCCAAATGGAGCCACATCAACCGTAAAGTCCGAAAGTTTATCGGAGTTTACGAAGAATGCGCCCGGTCCCAGAGGAGCGGGACGAACGACGCCGATGTTCTCCGGCTTGCCACGACTCGGTATCAAGATGACGGGCACCAAGGCAAGGTGCCCATCGATCTTTGGAGGATTTTGAGCCGTTCCCCAAAGTGGCAACAACGCAACAATCCCGACGGCGGATCGTCAAAGAAAAGATCCTCCGTCGACGCCGAGGTTGAGGTCGACGACACTATCAGTTCGTCCGAACAAATGCCTCCCTTCCACATTGCGGATTCTGATGACGAGGACCCCATTCCACGGCCGATCGGAAGAAAGAAGACAAAATCCATTGCCTCAGGTTCGGGAGGGTCCGACTCTTTTTCCGTTTCTTCTCGCGACGAAATCGGTCGGGCAATGATTGAACAACTTCAGGTGTTCAATCTTCGAGAAGAAGAGATGATGAAGCTAAAGGAGCAGGAGGACGATATCAAAATCATGGAAACCGACCTTTCTACGTTATTGGGTTTCAAATGGATGATCTACGAGCAAAGACAAAGAGAGATCAAAGCGAAATATAATTTACCTTAGTTTTTTTATTAATGTATCTCTTTATTATTGTCGTTTTTTTAATTTAATGAATGTAATTTTTTAAATTTTAAATTATTGTCGTTTCAATAAATTATTGTTTAAATGTATTTTTTTATTCGTGTTTCAATATAATTAAATAACAAATTAATTACATTTTATTAATTTAATTTTAAAAGATATATATTTAAAAATGTAAAAAATGAATTGAAGCCTCAATTTGAAATCCTGGACTTCAAACCCATTTGAAGCCTGGTTTGAAGCCCCTTCAGGCCTTCACCTGGTGCTCTTATAGTTCACGTAACAGTGGACCGTGATTCCCGGAAGCATATAGTCCTATCCGACGGGTGACTGACGTCCCGACGTCCGGCGGTGTGCCTGGAACCCTGGTTATGCCTCCAAATTCACTGCAATCATGCAAACATATGAAATCCGTGAATTCTGAACCCTAATCAAGTTGCAAGAATAACAATGGGCGGGAACGAGTTCAGGTTCTTCTTGTCATGCGACATCAATCTTCCGGTCACTTTCCGAATTGAACGGCTAGAAGGGAAGCTGTCACCGTCTAAGCTTCCTGGCTCAGGTTCGATTGATCAACCGATTTCTTTACCTTTAGTTTATACTACTCCTAAGATTGGATTAGTCCACAACATTGAATTGCCTGAAAGCTTCAATTTTGGCATGTCCTGTTCTAATATTATTTTATTTTCCGATTTCTCAGATGATGTTGATGCCATGAGTACAATTGATGATAGGAAGCATGAGTTATATGTAGAGAGCACATTGTACATTGATGGCGCTCCCTTTGGACTGCCCATGAGAACTAGGTTTTATTTCAGTGTTTGGCTCTAGAGTTTTGTTCATTTTTGCATTTTCCCTCAAATATTTCAGTTTGGTGTAGATAGTTTTCCTTTATTTTGTTTGCAGACTGGAATCTGGAGGGTCATCCTACTGCTGGAATGAGCTTATCACATTGAGTACAAAGTATAGAGACTTAACTGCAAATTCACAGCTTGGGCTTACTGTGAGTAAAAAACTTTTGGTCGTTGCCATTTGTCAAATAATTCAACATTTAGTAGTTTGTAGTGACTTTTTCATGGAAAGCAATTCAAAATTTCAGTTTTGGTTTCACTGACTTTTTTTAGGCAATGATTTTATGTACCAAAGAAGATCTATTAATATGACAAGATGACAGTTGCACCTTATTATTTGTTAAGTGATGAATTTATGCTTACGATGGTCTGCTGCTGCAGGTTTGGGATGTTTCATGTGGAAAGAGTGAGGGAGTTATTGGCGGGACTACTCTACATCTTTTTAACATGAAGAAACAACTGAAAACAGGGAAGCATAAGCTGAGACTTTGGTCAGGAAAAGAGGCAGATGGGTCTATCCATACGACGACTCCTGGAAAGGTTCCTAAGGAGGAACGCGGGGAATCAGAGCGCTTGGAAAAACTTGTGAATAAGTATGAGCGTGGGCAGATACAACGAGTTGATTGGCTGGATCGCCTTGCTTTCAAAGCCATGGAGAAAATCAAGGAACGAGAAAACAATAATAACGGGAGTTCTCATGTATACCTGATTGTTGATTTTTGCAGTTTTGAACACAGAGTTGTTTTCCAGGTAGCTCTAGCAAACTATATGCTTTTCTTTTTTAATATTCACTGGCGTGCCATTCCCTTCGCAAAAATCACTTTGGATTTCTTCATATGTTTATTAAATGTTATCCCATAATACAATAGGTTATGTGGTCATATTTCCATAACATGTTATTATCTGTTATATATCAGCAATACAACAATGGATGCTGATGTGAATATTTTGTTTGTTGGTTCATTTGGTTTTGAGTTTTCCCCCAATAGTTAGTCCTCACCAACATGATTCACTACTTGTCTGATTGCACAAATATGCTATTACTGCATATTATTGTTTTATTTGTTGTTTTAAGTACCAAATGGTTTCTCATGAAAGCATTTAATATCACTCTTACATACCAATGTGCAGATCTACTTGTATTTGGCATGCTTTTTAAGAAATAAATGAGATTAAAGGCTAATCTTGGGTAACATGAGAAACATATGAAGTCAGTGGTGTTCACATTAGAAAAGTTGATTAGTACACATTTACTTTGGCACACAGTGCAAAGGTATATCTCATACAATGGAATTTAGGGGAGTAATTAGTGGTGTTTCTCTGTACTTATAAGATGGTCAAAATTACTTATAAGCAGTTTTTAACTTATAAGTCAACTGATGACATGTTTCTGTGTGCTTATAAGCTGAATTATAAGCTGCTTATAAGCCAGAAAAAATAAGTAGGTCTAAACTACTTGTTTTTAAGTCAGTTTTTTCGTTTATTCCGTTTTGACCAGAATATTTACTAAATTGTCCCTCACCATTTATGAATATTTACAAATGATTTATCTATCATTTAAGTCATTTTACGTCAACGAAAGAGTATTTGACTTATAAACAGCTTATAAGTTAAAAATTGCTTATCAGCAATAAGCCATTCAGCACCAGCACAGAGAATCACCCCCAATTGTAACATGAACAGTGACTCGAATGCAACTCAAGTCTTTATAACTGTCATATGTGCCCTTTTAATTATATAGGAGTCTGGAGCAAATTTCATATTGCCATCTCCTATAGCTTCAACAAATGAGTTGGTTACTGTGTATGACCCAGAAATTGGAAAGATAAATCCATCAGAACACAAGCAGCTAAAGCTTGCAAGGAGCTTAAATCGTGGAATCATTGACAGGGATCTTAAACCAAGCTCCACTGAAAGAAAGTAAGCTCTAAATTGCGACCACAACCTATTTGCTTGAATGGCTTTTGGTATGCTGCTCTTCACATTTCACGCACATATATACAGACATGCATAAATGTAACTCTGGCTTATGTGTCTCACATGAAGATGACATTTAGATAATTGCACCAATATTCCAGTTTGCAAAGCCACAATTTTCTCTCCATTTATAATGTGTGAAAGTGTTTTCATACCCTAGTTTGTTGGTTCAATATTTTTCCTAAGTTTTGTTTTGGCTTGTTCCTTCCAAGTGGTGGAGAGTAATGAGTGGAGCTGTATGTACTTTTGCAGATCAATACAGAGGATATTAAAATACCCGCCAACAAGAGCTTTGAGTGGCGATGAGAGGCAACTCTTGTGGAAATTTCGGTTTTCATTAATGTCTGAGAAGCGTGCTCTGACAAAGTTTCTCCGTTGTGTTGAATGGAGCGATGTTCAGGTATCAATACAAGACATGTTCTCCAAATCTCCACTTATACTCGTCATCCTTTCTTGGTTCTTAGAAGGCAATAAGCTATAATGCATGACAAGTAACCCTTGCCTCAAGTATTATTTGGACACTTGTGCTGTAAGGTCAAAGTATATATTGCTGATTATTATATGCTTATCTGTGTACAGGAAGCAAAGCAGGCATTAGAACTAATGCATAAGTGGGAAATGATTGATACCTGTGATGCATTGGAGCTTCTCTCTCCTGTTTTTGAAAGTGAAGAGGTCAGTACAAGATATACCATGATGAGTTTTTCACTTAACCATTCTGAATGTGTGGTTGATTAAGGCAACTGTGGCTGTGATGATGAGTTTTTGAACCACTCATACTGGGCTGTTAAATTAATATCCCAAAAGAAATAAGTTTGTGATCCCATTGTGTTGCCATCATTATCCCTTCCCATTCTTAATGACTAAGAGTATTGACGAAAGCTTATAGTTTTGAAACACGATAGATCAGAAATGCTTTACCCTAACACAAGCCATTTATTTGAAAAGACTTCTCTTTTTAGGGGTTTGAGTTACTTATTTTCCTAATGGCTATACTTTTTTTGATGAACACACATTAAATATTTTTTGTCATAACCTTACATTCTAATAATGTGGTTTGCTTCCTACGTAGCTATATTAACATTGCGCTTTTCCATTGCAACTGGCTTCATGTTTCTAGGGTAGGTGCCAATGTGCCATTTGAGTTTGGTTCCTCAGACTAGAATCCCATGCATTTTCTTCATCTACATACAAATGATTCTTCATGTACATTTTTCATCGTATTTTTTAAATGATAGGTGCGTGCCTATGCTGTTAGTGTTCTTGAAAGAGCTGATGATGAAGAGCTTCAGTGTTATCTTCTCCAACTGGTTCAAGCTCTTCGATTTGAGCGCTCTGATAGATCTCGGCTTTCCCATTTCCTTGTGCAATGTTGTATGTTTCTGGTTAAATACTGCAATATGGGCAAGCGCTGGGTGTAGTTCCTGCTTTTATAATTGTGCTTTAATCTATTTAACTCTTTGCAGCATTGCGCAATATCGAGCTGGCTAGCTTTCTTCGTTGGTATGTTGCGGTAGAGCTGCATGATCATGGATTTGCAAAACGTTTTTATTGTACCTATGAACTTTTGGAAGAAAGCATGTTGAAGGTTTGCAATTGCCCTGTTTTTTCTTTATTTGAATTTTGATTGTTGTAGAAGCATTTATGTCCTTTCCGAAGTATTCATTTACTCAAAATGAACATGGAAGTTCAGAACAACAATTTACTCCCACACTTAAAAGGAAAGTGGAGAAACTAATAGAGACTGGAATATTATACATTGAGCAACTAACTTTTCCAGCAGCCAGAAGAAGCCAAATCCTCAAAAAATTCCCTTTTCCTCTTAATTGCATCGGTTACCACCTTAACTCGTTTTATTTAATCTGTTTTTTTTATCCTGAAGGAGAGCAATATCTTTTTGTTGGGTGGGGTTGGGTGGGATCCGCCCCATTTTGTACTACTCAATTAACCCAAAATTTCTTTCTTTTATTTTCTCTCTGTTGACTGCATCCACACACATACACACTTTTCACTTACATAGAAGTGCACGAGATTCCTTTTTGTGGATGTTTCATGATCATCACCATAATCTGCACCCTAATTTTACCTCTTGAGATCAACAACAACCGAGTAAAATCCCATGAATGGGGTCTGTAGCGTGGTTGTACACGGACCTCTCTTCTCCCTCAAAGGTAGAGAGGCTCTGCACAGAACTAGTTGAGGTTGGTAGCATTGAGTATATATTGCCAATTAAATGCTTAAAATTAATCAAAACTAAGCTAATATCAACAGCGTAGTGGCAATGTTTTATGATGCATGTTCTTCCTGTTGCAACCTTCCTAAGGATGAAGGAGATAAAATTTCTGAAACTTTCACCTTCTTAGGTTAAGCCGACATGAATGGAAAATGTCACGAGACAATGATGAATTGATATATTTACTATTAAGATAGAATCTTCAGAAGTATCTCTCTACCTCGCTTAGATCCTTATTTAAAAAATATGATCGATCTGTCTACTCCTATCCCTCATACACAAAACAACATGATAAAATGGTTAAATATTACTGAGTGGTTTTCAATTCTTTATCCTCACCTTCATCTTTAGTTATGATGCTGTATATTTACTACCAGTACACTTTTGTACAATAACAGTTGGTAGGGAGTGCAAATGGAGAGGACGATGGCTTTAAGGTATGGCACAGCTTGGTGCGGCAGACTGAATTGACAGCTAAACTATGTTCAATAATGAGAGGTGTGAGAAATGTCCGTGGTGGGACACAGAAGAAGATTGAAAAGCTTAGGCATCTTCTTTCTGGCCTTCTTAGTGAGCTTACTTACTTTGATGAGGTACATTTCGTATCCATTTAGCGTTGGAACCAGTGTCTTGAGCATTTTATGAATAAGTCATTGTTTGTGCTTTCAGCCAATACGGTCGCCACTCACCCCATTTGTACTTATCACTGGGATCATTCCATCAGAGTCGTCAATATTCAAAAGCGCGTTGCATCCACTACGACTAGCATTTCGAACAGCCAATGGTGAATGCTGCAAGATCATTTTCAAGAAGGGTGATGATCTTCGACAAGACCAATTGGTATATACTCAATATTACACTTATGTATATATAGTAGAAATTTTGAGGAGGTATGTGTCCCATTTATGATATATATTAACATAAAGATGTTCAGTCAGTCTATTCTTACTCTCACGCACAAAACAATGTAGCACAGGCGATACAATGGTTAATTTTTACTGCCTCTGTTAAAAATAAATTCATGCTTGACCCAGGTATGACCTTTTTATGTTTAGTAAGGTGCAATCATTGAAAATAGTCAATTCTTGCATTATTTTTGAATTTATTTGTTGGTCTTACTAAATCTAGGATACTTAAATGGTGAAGTCTTCATGACAAGGAGGGGTGCTATTACACAATGTATTTGAAGATATTTTTGGTTATTTGGTGGTTTCTTGAATTCATATCACCTTTCTTCCGAACTTCTCACGTGGTAATGTCTACATGATAGGGATATAATATAACTAGGTATAATGGTGGTTGTGGTTGCTGCAGGTTGTTCAACTGGTTTCTCTTATGGACAGACTGCTCAAATTGGAAAATTTGGATCTGCATTTGACTCCATATCGAGTACTTGCAACTGGACATGATGAGGGCATGATGGAATTTGTACCATCAAAGTCGCTGGCACAGGTAACTTATGGTTGTGTCTTGTTTTTTTCCCTCCCAATTGTTTTCAGTCAGTATTTTCATGGTAATATTTTAGAAGGAATTGTGGGCTTGAGAGAGAGGAGAGGGATCTTGTTGCTCTCTCAATTTGGGGTTATATTGATTTCCTACCGAGCTTTTTAGCATATACACCTCATGCTCTCAAACAATAATAACCGAGTAGAGTCCAACAAAAGTAGGGTTTGGGGAGGGTGTTTGTAAGCTGACCTTACCCCTACTTGAAGTTATATAGGCTATTTCAAGTGCCTAATGCTCCCACAAAAGGGTAAAATGAAAAAAAGCATAGAGTTCACATCACTAATCACCATGGTTTATTGTTTACATCAAGGTCTTCGTTAGCAGCACTATCCGAATTTATGTGATGATAATGAAATAATGATTAATTGTTTCCAGATTCTCTCTGAACACCGCAGCATAACAAGCTATCTGCAAAAGTTCCACCATGATGAGGATGGGCCATTTGGCATTACATCCACGTGTCTTGAAACTTTTATAAAAAGTTGTGCTGGCTATTCGGTCATCACTTACATACTCGGAATTGGAGATAGGTGTGTTTCATTTGAAGCTGGATATTAAATCTCGTTTTTCGTGCTGGTGTTCAGCCTTTTCTGTGCTGATGAATGCAGACTTACAAGCAGTTACTATATTTTCCTCATAATTCCTCAAGTGTGCTAAAAATGCATAAAATACTAACTAACTTTCTTGGTTTGCAGGCATCTTGATAACCTGCTACTTAGAGATGATGGGAGACTTTTTCATGTTGATTTTGGTTTCATCTTAGGTAAAGATCCAAAGCCCTTTCCACCCCCTATGAAGCTGTGCAAAGAAATGGTTGAAGCTATGGGTGGAGCAGAAAGGTATTCATTTCATAATTAATTTCCAGTAGTACAAAAACAATGCTCTCCGAGATGTAAAAGATTCACGTTTTTTCTTTCGCTTCGTGATTTGAATTTGTTATCCAGATTCATAATCAGAAAAAAAGGATAATAATTCTAAAAAATGTTTTGTTTAAAATTAATTTGTATACTTCCAGACTATGAATGAAAATATCATCATATTTAATTCAAATATCATCAATTGAGAAGAGGGATGTGGTGTTGTGGTAGGTTTACAAATATACTTTTTCTAAAGATTGAAAGGAGACTAATGATATGAAACAACTCCAAAAGGAAATTGAGGCCACTTTTGTGAAACGGAGGGAGTATGCGTTATACCTGTGCGGCACAAATTTCAAAAACACGGTGTAATGATGTTGACTTTATTTTTACACATTTATATGATTTTGTACGGCAACTTTAAATTGTGCATGAATTTGAATGATGATGCTGGAATTGATTTGATAATTATCGAATACTAAAATAACATGAATGACTGAAGTTTAAGAAAGAATCGTGAATTTGCACTGAAAAAAAAAAAGAATATGAATAGTATATACAGATATTTGAATATAAGGCTAATTCTTCTAACCCTTACTTCCCGACTGGCAGCCAATACTATACGAGATTCAAATCTTATTGTTGTGAAGCATACAATATTCTCCGGAAGTCAAGCAACCTTATATTGAACTTGTTTCATCTAATGGCGGGCTCCAATATCCCAGACATAGCATCTGATCCTGAAAAAGGGATTCTTAAGGTAATGGTTTCTTCTAGATCAACTGATGTCTAATTTTCATGGTTCCCCTCTCTGTCTCTCTCTCTCTCTCCCTCCTAACCTGGATTCTTTTATTACACATAATAGCTTCAAGAGAAGTTTCGGTTAGATTTGGACGATGAAGAGTGCATACATTTCTTCCAAGACCTCATCAATGAAAGTGTGAGCGCATTATTTCCACAGATGGTCGAAACCATCCACCGCTGGGCCCAGTATTGGCGGTAATGTATGCATACGACTTCAACAAGACAATATCAGTTAGCCAGTGCTACAGCAGAGGTAATGTATGCATATGACATGATAATAATATGGAGGAAAATGGTTACATCTCTGCAAAACCATCATGTGAGGTAAACTTCAATATAATTTGATCAGTGCTGAAAGGTAGTTGTTGATCGTGTTGTTGATCTTCATAGAGAAGCACCTCTCCGGGAATACTATGCCCCCTAACAGCTTGTTGGGGGCATATTAATCTTATTATTATTATCATCGGAACAGACTTTTTATATATGTATTTGGCTGAAATCGATTTTTCGGAACACTTTTCGTTCATGAAAAATCAGTAGGGGGTTGTGACTGTGCATCATGATTTATAGTAGAAGCTGTATATAGTTAAAGGTGAAATCTTCTTGGTTCTGTGCCAGTGACATTGACATGGCTCTGTACAAAAATATGTAAACTTTTCCAGAGTTAATAATTTCAGTACATTAATTTTACTAATATTCTGTTGCCTGTGAAATATCCTTCTTGAACTGGAGTTCCTTGATTTTTTAGTCTAATTGGCTGGCAGTGAACCTTATTCTTCTCCAAGGGAAGCCAATGGGACTTGTTTTGAAGAATATGATCATTTGGTGACTTTTTGTTGATTTGTTTTTTTTTTTTGAAATGCTTTTTTTTTTTAAGGTAGAAGCTTTTTAAATGTAGAAGTGTTTTTGAAGGAAGATGCTTTTCTAATGTAGGAGTGTTTTTATGATAAAATACAACTAGAATATTTTTTTATAATTAAAATATGTAAAAGAAATAAAAAAAAGTGATAAAAACAATTGCTTGTCAGTGTCGGGGATGTTACATCTGATTGGTTAGTTTTTAATTAGTTGAAATGTGCCATAAGGAAATGTGACATTCCATGCAATCTCAATTTTTCATGGCCTTGGAGTTGTTGCCCTTGCCATTGATGAAATTAGTTGAAAGAGGATGGATTGGAGATGAGGTAAGGGAATTAGAGATTGAAGATGAATAATATATAGTACAAGAAATTGTATTCAAAAATTAAAGGAGAATGCTTGAAGTTGGTAATTTCAAATTTAATTTCTTGCATTGTTCTTTTCAGATTTAAGTTTTTCAATTTATTTTATCTAAAGATTAGTATAAAAATAAAAAATAAAATTTACATATTTAAAATTATATCAAAAGTTGTATGAAACAAGATATGACAATTTTTTGTTTTATCAAATAATCAATGAAAACGTTCAACTAAATAAAGGTTTTCATTTTTTTGAAAAGTGAAGTGTGACCTTTTTTTAGGACAGAAGGAGTACTAGTACTATACAAATGGATGATACAAACAGAAAATTTACTATATGCGCCACTATTAAAATCCAAATCAGTGAATAAAGGGAGATATCGAAACACTTTTTTGGAAAGTTGAAATCTTTTTTATAACAGTAATTTTAAGAACTTGATGTTAGATATAATCAAAATCCAAATCGGGTTTGTTCACCAAAGACACATGTAAGATTTTGGAGATGCGTTTTTAGACAACATTTTCATAAAATATGAAATAGAATTGATCCACACAATTAATTTTTTAAAACTCATCCATTCCTGAATATATTTTGATTTACGTGATTGGAGTTATTTTTATATTTTTATGGAAATTTAATTTTATTAATTTACGTATTTGTGTAGAATTAAAAAAAATAAGATCTATATATTTATAAATCATACAAAAATTTTTAGAAAGAAATAAAAACAAATATTATTTTTGAATGTTAAAAAAACAAATACTTTATGTAATAAATGTGTAGCATAGAACCAAGTAAAAGATGAAAAAAAATACTCCGTATAATTTAACTACAGAGTATATAAATAGGAGTTGTGCTTCCATAATCCTAAGGTATACATATGAAATATGGATCTTCTCACAATTTTAGTGAGTCGACATTGAAATCTTTTATTTTTTTGAAGAATCCAATTCATTAATAGTATTTATATTCTAAAGTCCATAATATAAGTGGATCTCGGGACCATGACATTATGTTTGGTTCAAAAAATTAAAAAGGAAAGGAAAATAAAATGATTTCTCTCTTTTTTTTCTCACCAAAATGAAAGGAATCATGTTTTCCCTCTTCTTAGCTTATTTTAGTTTATCATTTTCTTTTCCTGACTTATCCTGTTATATTGTGTTCCCTACCATATTTTTTGTACAGGTTGAGCCGGAGGTTTCTTGGAAACAGCCTCCCTACTTTCGAGTAGGGGCAAGGTCTGCGTACACACACCCTCCCAGACCCTACTGTAGTGGGATTCAACTGGGTTGTTGTTGTATTTTTTTTCTTGACTAATGAAAATGAAAAATGATTTTTCATATTATTTTCTATTCTTTTCCTTCACAAATTCCACGAACCAAACATAGTGTAAGAGTCCGTTTGGTAGACGGAATTGGATTTGAATTGAGAGTTGAAATTCTATAAAATTGATTTGTATGGAATTGAATTATCTAATTTCAGCTCAATTTTGACACTACCAATCCCAAATATTTTTATGTTACCAAATACTCCGTAATAGAATTGGAATTGTTGTTTCCAATTCTAATTTCATAATTTAAATTCTGTGTACCAAAAATAGCCCAAAAGAGTTTTTCTATATTCTCTATAGGTAGCAATGTAGCATATGGAAATATGATTTTTTTTTTTTAAAAAAAATAAAGGCAAACATGGAGAGCGATTGCCAAATATTCATTCTTCGAATTTGGACCAAAGAAGCAAAATTGGACCCCAGCAGTGTACTTGGAACAATCAACGGTAGACCAAGACTGAAGCACGAAAGGGAATGGCATCCCCGTAAATACAACCGAAAACACAATGGCAACGCGGTAATTACACATCACCCGGCCTTCTTTTATTTATTGCCTCTTCTTCCCGAGATCGTATCTCTCCTTCGTTGATCGCAGGCTTCATTTCTCCCTCCGTCTCTCTACAGATCCCTCTTTCATTTCAGGTAAAAAAATTCACTCGTTCTGCGCATATTCATTCGCAAGCTCTTGTGATGTTCATCGCGTTTTTTTTTGTTTTTCTTCTGTGAAAGTTGCGGGTTCCGTTTGATTCCTAGGTGTTTGTGTTCGATTTCTTGGGATTAGAGTGCTTGATGAGTTGCAGATAGCTTTTTCTATTCAATTTTATGTTCATTCTGTTTGAAAAAGAGGGTTTTTTTGGCTTTGCTCGTTTGAGATTTCGAGGTTTGTGAGATTTGGAATTTTGAAATTTTTTGTTTGTTTACACCGATCTAGCGATTGGTATGTGCATATGCGATCCTTTATCTTTGTGTAACTGCTTTTGAGATTATGAGGTTGGGATTGAAAACCAGCAAATTTGATTCTCTCGCGGCAGATTTGTGCTTGTACATTTTGTTTAGCGTTCAGATCCGTCTTTCAATTGTATTTCACACCAAGTCATATGCATTTGTGTCCTTGATGTGGAATTCGGGCTGCGATTTAGTTTTTCGAGCTTTGATCTGGGTTAGTGGTGTGGTGCAATGATTTACAGGGATTAGCAGCAAAAGGACAGATGGGGCTCACATTCACCAAGCTCTTCAGCAGGCTTTTTGCCAAGAAGGAGATGAGGATTCTTATGGTTGGTCTTGACGCAGCTGGTAAGACAACCATATTGTACAAGCTCAAGCTGGGAGAGATAGTTACTACCATCCCCACTATTGGTATGATCTTTCCCCGAGATAGTTTTTGAAGCTCTTTTGTCAATGTATGTTGTGTGGCTTTGACATACTTATGAATCTATGGTACTCTTTGGAAGCGTGAATGTTTTGATTTTTCACCAAGATACTTTTGATGATTTTCTCTTAAAGAATGTTATGTTTTTTCCTTTTTTCTTTCCTGGTTATGGGTTCTATGACTTTTTACCAATATATTTATCATTATGTTTTTTTTATAAAAATGTGTAGCGTGTCTTTGACATATTTGCCTTCACTGAAAGTGGTGTCCTTTCACCTATATGCGGCAACTTTGTACTTGTTAGCCCGAACAATTTTAAACCATCATTAGATTTTCATAGTTGGTTGTATATTTTTATGTGCTTCACTCCCACTTTGGTGTGCTTGTAGCAGTTATCTCATAATAGTATTCAAATTTCTGCAGGTTTCAATGTGGAGACTGTTGAGTACAAGAACATTAGCTTCACTGTTTGGGATGTTGGGGGTCAGGACAAGGTATGCTAAATTATGTCTTCTCTTATTAGCAGTTGAATTTTTTCTACCTGTGTATACATGTATACATCAATCAATATCTTGACCATAAGTTATTGAACTCTACTTTTTTCTCATAAAAATTGCATGTATTGCCACCTCATTCAATATTTTGTTTTGGCAGATCCGTCCATTGTGGAGGCACTATTTCCAGAACACCCAAGGTCTTATTTTTGTCGTGGACAGTAATGACAGAGATCGTGTTGTGGAGGCAAGGGATGAGTTGCATAGGATGTTGAATGAAGTAAGATGACTTTCTCTGTGCCTGTACTCCATTTTTAACTTTTAATACTGCATTTGTACATAGCTTTTCTGATGTCACTCACCAAATGAGGCTATGATTAAAATTGAATTAAATGGCCAAAATGTCAATAAGTCTGCATCTGTGTCGAATTGGCCACTGTGATCAAGAATATCTTTGTCCATACAACACATGTATTTTCATTTCTAATTACCACTACGTACCTCGCAAGCGTAGAGAAACTTCGTACCTCTCCCCTCTTCTTAGTTGAACATAGTAGTTGAACTCTGTTCAACGAATGTCTAGTAATTATGCACCTTTCAGTTCATTTCTAATTACTGATGACATTTGTAATTTAGGATGACAATTTTATTTTCATTATACAAACTATTTTGAAAATGCCAAGATTTGTAGTCTAGTTGAACTTTGGGTTAAAGATATATTTCTGTAATTTGATCAGATATTACCTTATATTTCATTTTCCAACTAAAGACCATTTAACTTTTTTATAAATCTATATGTATGAACTTGTAGAGGATACCGTGATAGGTTATCATCCGGACGTGGAATTAGTATATTGATCTTTTGTACACTAAAATATTGAACTATGAAGGTTGTCGGTCGGGCTAACATTGTTCCTCGTATTGCTCTAGGATGAGCTTCGTGATGCAGTGTTGCTTGTGTTTGCTAACAAACAAGATCTTCCAAATGCCATGAATGCTGCTGAGATAACTGATAAGCTTGGCCTCCACTCTCTCAGGCAGCGCCACTGGTATGATTCCATAAATATTTCTCTAGACCCTCTGAATATTTCTTTTACTAGGGTTAGTGGATGTACGATACGAGGAATATTATTATATTTCTTTTTTTTTTCCTCCCATAATTGTAGGTACATTCAGAGCACCTGTGCAACTTCTGGAGAGGGGCTCTATGAAGGGCTTGATTGGCTCTCCAACAACATCGCCAACAAGGTAATAATCATCACAACCTGACACCGAATCAAATAGTTTCAAAATAATGAAAATCCTTATTCGACATTGCATTATTCTTTGATTTGTTCACAGGCCTAGACTAGACTGTTGGAAAGCGCGAGGGAATTCTCTCCTCTTTCACTCTCTCTCTGGATGCATGCGGTGTTTTTTCTGGGTTTTTTTTACTCAAGTCTGGTTGTGAACATCATCTCTTTTAAATGGGCATTTTGAATTTTATTTTTTGTGTAGTATAAGATTTGAATATATGTAATGTTATGGTGTTTTCACTCATGCTGGTATGGTTGAGAATTCCCTTCTCGTTTCCTTTTTGAGCTCTACCTTCTTCCATTAACGTGTCAAATTAAGTGTTTTCTTCTTGATAGTAGTCCTCGAGTGCAAATGACATTACGATTCTCATCTTGGGAGCGTAAACATCACCCCTTTCTTGATGCAAGTCTTTCCAACTCTTGAAATCATCTGCCATCAAGGCATATTTAGAGTTTGTGAATGTGCGTCCTCTTCGATGGCTGTCTTGCCATCATTATTTTTGTTCACGTCATTCTTGAAAACCTTCCCTATACCCTTTCTATTTTGTTTTATGACATTGTCTAATTGGCTAAGTTTTTATATATACAACTTTTCGTTCCTAAAATTGATCTCTTACCGTCCATATACCTTTTCTTTTGTTTTGTGACACTGTCTAATTGGCTAATTTTTTAATGGGATGATTCCCATGACATTGCTCGGCAATGTCATGGGATGACCTAGGGTGCTCTAGTGTCCTGTTCGTAAAATTGACGGTTCTTACCTTCCTTAACCCCCAAATAAAACCCCCCACCCAGTCCCGATTCGAACACACACCCCCACCTCTTTTAATTGCATCACTTCAAAGTCAAAATTAACTTGAGAGTGCAATTGAAAGAGGGGGAGGTTTACCAGGGGGTCATTCCATGACATGGTATTCCCATGTCATTTTTACGAATGAGGCACCAAAGCACCCCCGGGTCATCCCATGACATGGTATTCTAATATGGGAACTCCACCGATTTTATATATATACAAGTTTTTGTCGTAAAAGTGATATCTCTTACTC